CACACAAACACAAAAACACACCCACACACCAACAACAAACTCACAATTTTAAGTACTCACCCACTAAACAGCTTGGTGTAGTTTGCCTTGGGCACTCTTCTCTCCACCCTCACCCCAGTCTCGGAGAGAGTACAAAGCGTACACCCCCTCCCCTCATCCCGCACCCCCCTCCTTTATTCAATCACAGGCATACACATACACACACCCACAACCAAACAACAAACACACACATTTTAAGTACTCACCCACTAAACAGCATGGTGTGGTCTGCATTGGACACACCGCTCCCCGCCCCCACCCAGTCCCGTAAGCGTACCTCCCCCTCATTCTCCCCCCCCCCCTCCTTTATTCAATCACACACATACACAGACACACACATACACGCACCAACCACAAAAACAAACACACATATTTTAAGTACTCACCCACTAAACAGCATGGTGTGGTCTGCCTTGGGCACACCCCTCCCCGCCCTCACCCAGTCCCGTAGAGAGTACAAAGCGTACACCGACTCCACATAACGTTGCCCCACTTTGTTACGCTCCGTCCACACCGACTCCTCTTGTATCTTCAGAAATAAAATTTAAAAAATAAATGTTTAAAATCCCCACAAAACAAACACATTTCAATTAGAGAATCTCTATTTAATGAAAATTATGTTGCATTAAGAAAGCGGGTGGTTGGCGGGTGGTTTGCGGGTGCTCAAGTGTGGTTTTCTCCTTCTTTTCTATCAAGCATAATATTATGCCATCAAGATCTCTCCTCCTTTTTGTGCTTGTTACTCTTTAATTGTAACACCTTTAATCTTGGGAACTTATATGACCGTATTGTGCTGCAAGTGGGATAAAACTCTTACAAAACCAAAAGAATGACATATTATTAAGACAGAATCCAGAAATTTGAACGGTGGATGGATTCTAAGTTATTGGTCTCTCAACCAAATTATTATTATCATTATTATCATTATTATTATTATTATTATTATTATTATTATTATTATTATTATTATTATTATTATTATTATTATTATTATTACTATTTCATTGCTCAATAAATCTGGTTTCAGTCCGTTTGATTGAGACATGATCCCAAAATGTTAATGGGTATACTGCTTATGTGTATTGCTACAAGGAAGTATTCAGTAATACAATTAGTTAAACATATAAGGAAATATGAATTACCACATTTGGTAATACGAACTAGTATTACTCAAAGGAAGTATACGCCTGCTATTTATAAACCCATTTACACAACCAACTGTTTAAACATGATATTCTGCTAGAGTACACAATAAATTTGTTATACAAATTATTACTACAAGGACGAACTCACTAACAAAATTATTTGTTTTACATACTGTTACTTGAAGGATGTTTTCATGATTACAATAATTGGTTATACACATTACTAAAAAGAATTATCAATGAACACAATCGTTTAGGTCTATACATAATTCTACAATTACTACAAAAAAGCGTTCATTTACCCAAAAACATTTCAAAATCGCTTACTTTGCTGATACTTGTTTGAGATATTATTGCCTCTAGCTTACTTTTAAGTCCGTTGCTTACCTCAAGAGTATTAAGAGCAAGTTATTTGCCAAGTCTCATTGGAATATCGAATTTTTCAATCTTTAACTTAAGAATGAATAATACTATTCTCATAATGCTTAGGCGGGTTCCCCCCACCCACCCCACCCCACCCCCGCCCAAACCTCATTCAATGGGAAGTAATACAACCAAAAATAGCTTCGCGCTGTGCTATGTATTTGTTATGTCCCTTGAATTGTGAAAAAGACTTCTACGAATTTCGGATTATTTATTAACATTAGACAAATTCTCGCGGATCTAATGAATGTCCTAACCAACTTTAGCTTTGAGGCAACTTTGGACTGATGAATAGACAGAAACATAAAGGGAGGAACAACTTATAGGACTTTCCAGTTGCACCCTCAACCATCCACAGTTTTACTTAGAATAATTAGAATGATTAATACATCAGTTCAAGAAGGGAGACTACCAAAACAAGACAAAAATTCCCTTAAGATTTGATATAATATTATTAATAATTAAATCTAAAAACAACAACAACACCCCCCCCCCCCAAAACAAACAAACAAACAAACAACAACAAACAACAAAACATTCTTATAGAATCTAGCACATTTTCACTTTAAATGTGCTCAAAGCACTTTTCATCAGTACTCACTCTCTCTCCCTCATTCTTTCTCTCCCTCCTGTCCCCCCTCTCCCCTCTCTCTCTTTCTCTCTCTCTCTCTCTCTCTCTCTCTCTCTCTCTCTCTCTCTCTCTCTCTCTCTCACACACACACACACACACACACATTCTTTTTATTCCCCGCTTCCTCATGCTACAATTTCACTAATATTCCATCGATATATATATATAAGATTACTAGACTTACGTCCGTGACGATCAGGGACACGGGAAAGATGCGGATGATCAGGGTAGGGTCACGTTCTGTCACACTCTGGTACCGTATATCCATCTGGAGGAAAGGAGATTGAGAGATAAATATTCATGTACAAAGAGAGAGAGAAAGAGAAAAGGGAGATAGACAGAACGACAGAAAGAGAGAGAGAGAGAGAGAGAGAGAGAGAGAGAGAGAGAGAGAGAGAGAGAGAGAGAGAGAGAGCGAGAAGGAGAAAGAGAGTGAAGGAGAAAGACAGAACGAGTGAGATAAATCGATTGATAGATAGATAGAAAGGAAGACAGACAGAGAGAGAGAGAGAGAGAGAGAGAGTGTGTGTGTGTGTGTGTGTGTGTGTGTGTGTGTGTGTGTGTGTGTGTGTG